TTATCTGACAAAACTCAAAAACAACTTTAAACAGAATCCGAAGTCCTTCTTCAAATTTGTCAATTCGAAGCGCAAATCCACCGATTTTCCACCAAATTTAAAGTACGATGATGCTGAATCCTGTGATATAAATGTTATATCTAACATGTTTGCAGACTTCTTCAGTACAACATATTCTACTAAAACATTTAGCGGCAACAACTACCCTTTCGAAATTAATACTAATCAATCAATATCTATTTCACTATTAAACAGCTCTATGGTTTTAAATGGATTGAAAACTTTAAAGTATAGCTATGATTTTGGACCAGATAATATCCCGAGTTGCATCCTAAGGAAGTGTGCCGATGCTTTTGTTTATCCTCTTACCATACTGTTCAATGCTTCCATAACTCAAGCTGTTTTTCCTGAGGTTTGGAAAACATCGTATATCATTCCACTCTTTAAAAACGGAAATAAATCGGATGTGGCCAATTACCGAGGAATAGCAAAATTAAGCGTGATTCCAAAGCTTTTTGAAAAACTGATTACTGAAAACCTTATCCATTGCATTAGTTCTATTGTTTCACCCTATCAGCATGGATTTCAGAGGAAGTGTTCTACAACAACAAACCTCATTCAGTTCACTACAGTTATAAATCGAGGATTTCTTCAAGGAAAGCAAACTGATGTAATTTACACAGATTTCAGCAAGGCATTCGATAAAGTTAATCATAAATTATTACGATTAAAACTTAAAAACATTGGATTTACAAATAGAAGTTCCGAATGGATTTTTTCATATCTACAAAATAGAACACAAAAAGTATGTTTTAAAAACGCAATTTCGAAGAGTATTATGGTTTCTTCTGGAGTCCCACAAGGAAGTCATCTAGGACCAATCCTATTTTCTTTATTTATAAATGATCTACCTTCATCTATAAAATTTTCAAATATTTTGATGTATGCCGACGATGTGAAAATATTTCTTAGCATTTCGGAGATATGTAAGAATCAGCTGCTTCAAAATGATTTGAATTCGTTTGTTAACTGGTGCAACATTAATCTTATGGAAATTAATTATTCGAAATGCAAACTTATGAGATTCACAAGAAAAAAATTATTGGATACTAGTTACACCCTCGGTGATTATTCTCTGGAAAAAGTTAATACATTTGTTGATCTTGGAGTTGTATTGGATTGTAAACTTAACTTTAAATCTCATATTTCTGTTTCTATAAACAAAGCAAAATCAGTTCTTGGTTTTGTGAAACGTTGGAGTAAAGAGTTTAAGGATCCTTATGTTTCAAAAAATTTATACATGTCAATTGTTCGCCCAATTTTGGAATACTCTTCGGTCATATGGGATCCAATTTATAAAACACACAGCGACCGCATCGAGTCTGTTCAAAAACAATTCCTACTTTTCTGTCTACGAAGTTTGAACTTTTCATATGATAATCTTCCACCATACACTGATAGACTCTCACTGATTAAGCTGCCAACTCTGGAAAGCCGTAGAAAAATGCTAAATGTCTCATTTCTTTATAATGTGATTATGGGTGATATTTCTGCTGGCTTTCTTGTTAACAACATAAATTTCAATGTTCCTCAACGTACTACCCGCCACTATGCACCACTAGCAATTCAATTCTCCAGGATGAGCTATGCAAACGCTGATCCTTTAACAAGAATTTCAAAAGATTTTAACGCGTTTTATAATTTTATCGATTTTACAATGGATATTAATACTATAAAAAGTAAAATAATAATGTTTTTAAATTCTTAATTTTAATTATACAATTATTAGTTATGTACATATATAGTCTGTAAGGAATTATCCATAGACTAATAGATTAAATAAATAAATAAATAAAGACATCTCCAAAATTTGGTTTTCTGGGACTTTGGGCACCAAGTTGGTGTAATTTTTTATTTAAGACTTCCATAGGTTACCAAAAACTACCAATATTGTCCCAAGTTGAAATGTAGCAGCCCTCATATAACGGATCCGCCCATTATTTGGTATTTTGGAGATTTCGCGTTTTTAAACTGAATTGGATATAAATTTGATATTTCGGTTTCTCAAATATTCATTCCAAAAATTATAACGGTACTCCACATTATTCACTATTTTAGAGATTTTGGTCACATTTATCAATCCTTTTGCTGTAATTTTGTATTTTGGGTTCTCATGCGGTAGGAAACCTCTCTACCAAAAACTATCAATATTACCCCAAATTTTCGGGATAGTCCCTCTATATTACAGTATCCTAAATATTTGGTATCTGAAGAATTCGGGATATATTTTTCAACCGAATAGGTTCTAATTTAATATTTTCAATTCTTATCGGGTGTCAAATTTTTCGACCAAAAATTTTCAATATAGGTTAATGTTTTGGTATAGTCCCATATAACTGTATCCCCCAATTTTGGTACTTTGACAATTCAGGCATATATTGCACCGAGTTTGGCTGTAATTATATATTTTTTGCTCATAGGTAGACAATTTTTTCCTATTAAGAATTACCTAAATCGGTCCATGAATGTTCGACATTTCTGGATTTCTGGCATGCTTATGAACCAAGTTTACTCGTATGTGATATTTTGGGTTGTATCTACAACAAGTATAAATCACTTTTTGTTAATAAGCAGCACTTCATACGTACGTATTTTGATGGCCACTTTCGTCTGTGATAATATGTTAGCATTACCAAATGGCTGCAAGTTAGCATTCCGGGCCTTGGAGGTTAAAAAACATCTTCACAAACAATTTTTCAATATAATTCTATGTTTCTATACATCCTAACTGAGATGTATGTTGTTGAGAATTTCGTTTTCTACTGGCAGCAATTAACTAGGGCATAGCCCCTCTAATAAAACGTCCTTTTAATTATAGGCATAAGGAATGTACATCTCATGGAGTGAGGTATAAAAACTTCGGCCTGGCTAAAATATTTTTAATTTTTTTAATTCGTCATACTTATTCTAATATCTCCCAATTCAGACTACCTTCCATTTGCATTCATTGTATCTTCTCCCCAAAAAATATTTGAAAAAAATCAGCAAATTCAATTGACGATTATTTAAAACAATTTATATGAAAGTCACAAAAGTAATTTAAGCGAATACAAAGTATCGGAAATCTTTATCAGATTTCAATCGCAAAAAAATCTACACTAGTACCTCGAAGCCTATGCAAACATTTATTTTTCCAATTATATTGTCATCGATTGGTGTGAAAAGTTCTCGTTGTTGTTACACTCATTCTCCTTCTTTTCTCTGTTCATCTTCTTTCACTTTGGGAGCCATTATAGTGTCAAAGCACTTAAATACAGTGCCGCCATCAAACAAAGACCGATAGATCGACAGACAGACTGGCATCGAGGTGACAGGGCAAATGTCTACGCGAGTCTGGGGACACATTTGCATGTAAAATATCCATATCCGAGCTAACAGAGTGGAAAGAACGTGATTTGATTTTAAAGATTCTGTTCGGAAACGACACACACACACACGTTTACTCATTGCAGCCTCCGAGTGTGAGTGTGGTGGAATGTACCGATGAAGTACCGATGCGATAAAAAAAAATTAATAAGCTATGGAGTGGAAGAGTGTTAGCGGCAGCAGTCATTGGGGTTACTCAGTCGAGACAACTACGCCAATAAGCAGTACATGTATCTTCGGCGAACATGTCTATGTGAGAAACAAACTTTAAGAAAAACAAATCTGAAGTATGTAGAACAAAATGAACTTAAAAATGTGTAGTGGAAACAAGATAAAAAAAGTCCGCTAAGCCGAAAATTTTACACCCTGCATCTTGTGGTTAGTGGTTATTCCCAATTCCTTTAATAGGTAAGGTCCCTATAAAATATGGAATAATATATGGAGTGAAAAAAAATTTAAAGGTAGATTTTTAGACTTTTCGATTTTCTGATTTTGAATGAAAAGTCGAATTTTCGATCTTTCAATATTGACGACCCTCTTCAAAATCGATTTTCGACAAATGCAAAATCGACTAAAAATCAGATTTTGTATATGAATTGTTATCAATCGATAAAAAAGGGTGGGATGTATATTTTTTTTTTTTGGGTAATTTGGGGCTTGTGATAATAAACCAATTATTTATGAAAAATCGAAAGTCGATTTTGAAAAGTCGACTTTGCGATTTCCTCAAAGGTCAAAAAAGGTGACTTATAGACTTTTGAATACAAAAAGTCGGTTAATAGATTTGTCGAAAGTAGATTTACTTGTCCCAAATTTCGATTTGTTGCACACGGAACGATAAATTACATATACCCACGATCTCACGGTGGAGGATATAATAGATATGGTGACCTCACCACTCTGTCATGTGAAATACGCTAATGGCATTTGAAGAATGCCACAAAAGGACGAGCAAAAAAAAAATAGAAAAATGAACGTAGGACTAAACATAAAAACACAATCTAGTTAAAGGCGAAGAGGAAGGACCCAGCAGGGAATAGAAACGGAAATTGTATTTGTAATTTTTTTGGAGTAAAAGACCCACCTCCTTACTCTGGGAAACATTGTTGTTTCTATTATTTGTTTCACTTGTCTGTCTTTCTTTTAAAATCTCTGATATCAAACATTGCATTGTCAATAGACAATGGGCAACACAACAACAACGATGACAGGCAAAGTGATTGTTAATGATGTCATCCTTGTTGTTGTCGCTGAGTTGCAGCGATGTACAACATTCTTTGGTAGGGTACATTTTTGAAAGCCAACTCATGTAGCCACTTGTTGAAGCATATTATTTAGATCCTATGGAATTTCGTTAGATATATTTACATGTACGATGTCGTCGTTTTTGTTTTACTACATTTGTAAGGAGGTTGTTTTTGCCATTGTTTTGCAATGGAACGTGATTTATCATTAAGTGGACATTGATGTCATGTATGGAGTGTATAATATGTGATTTTTAGTATTCTTTTGTTTCATCTTCGTAATTATCTATGCTTTTATTCACTTATATCTTTTTCTTTGTTCTGTTTTAGGTCCAGCCTTTTGGGGATTAATCAATCCCGAATGGTCTTTGTGCAACAAAGGACGAAGACAATCGCCTGTAAATTTAGAACCTCAACGCTTACTTTTTGATCCTAATTTAAGGCCTTTACATGTAGATAAACATAGGGTAAGTATATTAGCAATATGATTAAAAATTATCAAATATAGACATAAGTAGCGAAAATAGTCATTATTAATGAATAAATATTAAATAACATCGACATTAATAATATATTTACATTTGCCCATAAACAAATTATTAACTTTGAAGTCCATACCTACAACTTTTTTACATTGATTGCAATACCAATACCATTCCGGGCTCTTAGAGTGTGCCACATAAGTTACAGGAAATAAGTAATTTATATCCATATTTCAATAAATATCTCACATAAAGGTGGTGGTACAGATCCCATATAAATGTAATTTTATTGTCCTAGACGCACTTTTCCAACAAAGTGGTTGCAATTTCTTACTCCAGCTTCCTAGGGGTTAAATATTTTCATTGCAGGAAATGTAAAATATAAGTCAATGATTCGACTAGTCCTCATTCAGGAACTAGGGGTCTGCAAGTTGGCAGCACGTTTTCATAGAGAATAAAAAATGTCCAAACAGAATCTTTACAATAACATAACATCAATATTAAATCCCAAACCGTTTTTAGATATTTGTAGTGCCTGTCTTACGTTGGAGGGTATAAAAACGTAAGTCCGCTCGAGCATAACGACGTTTTCAAAAGTGGTTTTAAAGCTCATAAGTCATTTGTATACTATTTTAGGCAAATCTGGGAGTCATAGTCATTCGTATATTTATGTAGTTTCATATGAGATATACAAAGGAGAGGACCAGTGGCGATATTAAAAGCCATTGTGGGTTAATTAAATTAAATACTCCGCTGAATTTTCATCAAATTGTTAACTATTATGTGTTCACTCTTAGTACTAACATTCTTATTATCGATCATGATTTATCTTGGTATACAATGAGATATACAAGAGTGAGAGGACCAGTCGGGCGATATTTCGCGAGTAAAAAAGCCATTGTCGAAAAAGTGGTTTTAATAAGTCAAAATTTCAGTTGACCTAAGAATACTGTGAATGAAAAATTATACGTCATTTGAATTTTAAGCAAATCATCATAATTGTTTGAGTACTATTATGTATTTACTTGTGCGATATACAAACGAGAGGAAGTATAACGAAAAAAAAACCATTCTCAATTAAATTGAATACTCATGAATTTTATAAAATTGGTATCTAATTATGTGTACAATAGTGGACTAACATTCTCTGCATCGATCATGATTTATCTTGGGATTAATTAAAACAATTTTCATAGTGGTCGTTAATCCACCCGAATTGGCGGCAGTTTTGTTTTTGTATTTCTTAGTGGATAAGAAGCGATTTCGAAAAAATAGCGAAATAAGTGTAACTGTAACTTTTAGGTATAACTGTCATACCTTCAGATTATCGGTATTTTGAACCTTTTTGGACTCGCATTCGAACCTAATTGATTTGAGTTCTGATTAATGTATTACTCTAACAGACAACAGGTTCCGCTTATAGACACTTCGTTGGACAACGCGACTATGCTCCTAAAAACAACTAATATGAAGCTTTTCTTGCATATTAACACTAGATTGCCGACTGTCTGTCATTTTACCGTTTTTCAATTTCAAGCATAAAAACAATTGTGTAAATTATGACACAGCTTATTAAAATTTGGTGACTTTTTGTACAACGATGTGTGTTAGTTTATTAATCATAGTAGATGCTTCTCCCCCTCTTGCATTTTTCGTATACACAAGTGCTATATACCTATATTGCCTAAAATCGGTCATTTTGACGTCTTGTGAAATATAAGCTATAGGAAAATAAAATAAATTCCAGTCTTTCTAGTGTTAAAGAATTCGAATGTCAAATTAAAACCAATCCCAACTATGGGCTAGATATCCCATTTTTTCCATAATTAGAACAGTGGATGTGTGAAATAAATACATATCAAATATAAGGGCTTCAGTCCGATCTGATTACGAATCTGCATGAAAAAACGTTAATATTCAAGAGGATGGATCGATAGTACTAATCATACAGTGGTACTGAGTATTATGTATTTGTGCATATGTTTGTAACAGGCAAAAAGAAACGAGATAGACATATGGTTTCTTTTGAGAATATGCATAGAATAAATTCTAAGTCGATTTATGCATGCCCGTCCATCCGTCCGTCCGTCTATCTGTCTGTCCATGTTAAATTGTAAACAAAGTACAGGTCGCATTTATGATCCGAATTGGATGAAATTTGGCACAGCTATTTATTTGAGCGTACTGAATTAAGTCTAGAACGATGACTGTTATGATTCGATTCAGATTTAGATATAGCTCCATATATATTTTGATATTTTAGATAAAAATAGGGCACTAAAGTCACTATATATTTGCCCGATTTAAAAAACGAAATTTAGTACAGCATACTAAATTAAGTCTAGAACGATGTGTGTTGTTTCGTGAAAATCGTGATATAGCTCCCATATATTTACGTCCGATTTAATGTAAATGGTGCACCAAAGTCCCTATATATCTTTCGATTTCACGAAATTTGGCAAGCGTAATGAATTAGGCCTAGAATGATGTGTGTTAAGTTTCGTGAAAATGTGAATTCAGATTTAGATATAGCTCCCATATATTTTCGTCCGATTTAAGGTAAATGGTGTACCAGAGCCCCTTAATATTTTTCGGATTGCACGAAATTTGGCACAGCGTAATGTATTAGGTCTAGATTGATGTGTGTTAAATCTGAAATGTTCAGATTTAGATATAGCTTCTATATCTGACCAAATGAAAAATTTAGTATCGGTTGCAGAATGATATGTTTAAAGATCCAATTTCATGGTCCTTTAAAAAATGCGACGTTGTTAAGATTCATCTCTTGAATATACCCAAAGTGGTGAAGGGTATCATATAGTTGTACCGCCAATTTAATTTTTTTTTGTTTTAAATTTTTGCATTTTCATATTAAACTGTGCAGCACTTAAGTATGTATAGAAATTGCGGTATATAGAGCGGCATCCATGATACAAATGAAAGTTTCCTGAGCTTTGTAGTGTATATCAATCTGTCATTCAAGGGAAATCTTAGTATCACCCTCTATAGACAATCCATATTTCATGTCGTAATGTTTTTTTTCCTGTCAATCCGACTCATGAAATCGATCGAAAATGGATTGTCTACAGAGGGTGTTATAAATATTTCCCTTGATCCAATATGACAGCTTGATATACACTCCAGAGCTCAGGAAACTTTCATCCTTTTCATCAGAGAAAATTGTCTCAAAAAGGCACATCGAATTTTATTTAGCAGCTGCATACCTTATGAGACTATTTGACTTCCTAGACAAAGATTAAAAGATATGAAATTCAGTGTGAGTGAATAATTATTCCATATGCAGAAAATTTAATGCCAATTACTGACAGACTAGCAACAGAATTATTACTGGCACTGTTGTCTGTTGTTACCCTATCCAATCAAATCTGTCATAAATAATTTAATTATCTTCATATCTGCCCTCTTCTAGTGCAATTAATCCATATCCTCTTCAAATTAAATCCTTCTGCTGTTATATAATATTTAATTAAATCTTAATTTCCTTTCATTAAATTGCCTCGCAAATAAACTTATTTCCCTTTACCCCATTTTTAACACATATTTAATTTTCCTTTTTTCTCTTTCTCTCCCGTTCCATTTCAGATAAGTGGTTTAATCACAAACACCGGACACAGTGTCATTTTCACAGCGGGCAACGACACAGTTGCCAATTATGATGGCATGCAGACGCCCGTCAATATCACAGGTGGTCCGCTGTCATATCGATATCGATTTCACGAAATTCACATACACTACGGGCTGCATGATCAATTCGGTTCGGAGCATAGTGTTGATGGTTATACATTTCCTGCAGAGGTAAGTTATCTCTTTTTTATTGTATTATTTTATTTCGTAAGCAATGTCATTGTTTCATTCTATTCCAAGGCAAACACCGCCCTTTATTGTTTGTTCGAAGTAAACAATTTGCAGGATTATTAAGTGATTTTTTTGCTATTGCATTCCGTTTCCTTTATGTCAGAGAGAGAAAAAAATTTAATTTTCATAAAACAAAGCAAAGAAATCATTTATTTGTACACGTTTGTAATATTGTTGGTTGAGTAAATATTTCACTTCCCCCATTTCATTCTATTTTTGTCCTCTGTACGTTTACAAACACGTATACAATTTGTCTCACACCACAAATCCGGTTACGGTTTGCAAACCATACAATTGTGAAAGTGTGTGTTAGAGTGCGTGTAATTATGATGAATAGAGTGTCTATGTTGCAGAGGTGGAAAACCTTATGCAACAAATATTAACAAAAAAGTGTAATGGTTTTCGAAGTAGATAGTCCATGGAACTAAGTCCTACGTATTTATACGGAAGTTTTATAAGGCCTTCCATTTATATAATGTTTATATTTTTTGGACTAGCTACAAAGAATTTTATTTTTGTATAAGGGCGCTACAAATATTCGTTTAAAAAATCTTCGCCTCTAAGGAAAGAAATATTCGTTTAAAAAATCTTCGCCTCTAAGGAAAGAAATATTCGTTTAAAAAATCTTCGCCTCTAAGGAAAGAAATATTCGTTTTAAAAATCTACGCCTCTAAAGCAAGTAATATTCTTTAAAAAATCTACGCCTCTAGGGCAAGAAATATTCTTTAAAAAAATCTACGTCTCTAAGGCAAGAAATATTCGTTTAAAAAATATACGCCTATTGGGCAAGAAATATTCGTTTAAAAAATCTACGCCTCTAAGGCAAGAAATATTCTTTATAAAATCTACGTCTCTAAGGCATGAAATATTCTTTAAAAAAATCTACGCCTCTAAGACAAGGGCAAGAAGTAATCTTTAACAAGTGAAAAAGCGTTAAGTTCGACCGGGCCGATAGATACCCTCCCTATAGATACCCTCCACCATAGATATACTGACAAGTACTTGAAATGAAAATATAGGGAAAATACCAAAAAGTGGACCTATACCAACATTTCTGCACACTAATTTGGTAACCGTAATACAAACTTGGACCAAATCCGTTTCAGAAAATGTTGATTTCATCCAAATTTTGCCCATCTTATGATTTCTTCCAAACTTAGTTCAAGTTCGAAGATGGGGAATATCGGTCCACTCCTTCTGGTACCTCCCACACAGGGACTAGGCCTAAATGCGTGTTATAGTTCATTATCGAACCTTACGTTCTAATTTTTTATCTCGATAACTTTTTTAATTATAAAATATTATCAGATAACTATTTTAATAAAAACAAGTGAATAAGCGTTAAGTTCGGCCGGGCCGAACTTTGGATACCCTCCACCATAGATATACTGACAGGTACTAGAAATTAAAATATAGGGAACATACCAAAAAGTGGACCTATACCGATATTTCTATGTCTTGATTTAGATTAGGCGAGTTTACTTGCGGCAAGTCTTTGTTTGTAGGAGAGAGGGGCAAGGGGTATAGAAATGAAAAAAAATTGCTCGTACCGACAATTTTCTGGCAATTCGTTTTGTGTATTTCGTATTTGTTGACATTTTATATATATTTAAATGTGAAAAAACAACAAATAAAAAAATATCTTGGAAACCGAATTGCCTTGTATAGACGCATGGAGCAAGTTCAAAAGAGAACGATAAAAATTGCCGCAAGGAAACTCGCCTAATATAAATCAGGACTATGTAAACTATAATACAAATTTCAGAAGTGTTTAATGAATAATTATACCATCAGCCTTATAGCTAATGAGGGTGTATACAATTTACACCGTGAAAATGTGCCTCATCGAAATATTGGTTCTAGACCCCATGTTTCTTTGGACCAAATCCGTTTCAGTAAATTTACATTTCATCCAAACTTTGCCAATCTTATTATTTCTTCCAAACTTAGTTCAAATTCGAAGATGGGGAATATCGGTCCACACCTTCTAGTACCTCCCACACAGGGGCTAGGTTTAAATACGGGTTATAGTTCATATATAGTTCATTATCGAACCTTACGTTCTAGTTTTTTATCTCGATATCCTCCACAGGTGATATAGTTACAACAGAGTCATAGAACCAAACCCAAAACGCGGAACAAATTGCATAACTATTTTAATATAAAAGAGGGGTTATATGGGGACTACCCCAAAAAGGGCGTGCATATTATTTTTTTTTTTTTTTTTGTAGAGAAATTTGTTACCATATTCGACTACAAAATACCAAATTTCAGCGAATTCGGTTGAAAAACGTGCTCAAGAACCTCAAAATAGCGAAAATTGGGGGTACCCTTATATGGGGGCTACCAGAAAAATTGGACCTATATTTATAATTTTTGGTGGAGATATTTGGCACCCAATAGGAACCAAATGTACCAAATTTCAGCGAAATCTGATGAAAAACGCGCTCAAGAACCCCAAAATACCGACATTTGGGGGTACCCTTATATGGGGGCTATTCGAAAAAATGGACCTATATTCATAATTTTTTGTGGAGAGATTTTTGTACCTATTAAGAACACAAAATACTAAATTACAGCTAATTCGGCGGAAAAATACGTTAAAAACCCCCAAAATACTGAAAATTAGGAGGTACCGTTATATGGGGGCTACCAGAAAAAGTTTACCTATATTTATAATTTTTTGTGGAGACATTGAGTACCCAATAAGAACCCAATGTACCAAATTTCAGCGAATTTGGTTGAAAAACGCGCTCAAGAACCCCAAAATACCGAAAATATGGGGGTACCCTTATATGGGAGTTATGCCTAAACGTGGACCGATAAAGCCCATCTTCGAACTTGACCTGCCTGCAGACAAAAGACGACTCTATGCAAAATTTTGGCGATCTATCTCAATTCGTTTAGACGCTAGAGTGATTACAACAGACAGACAGACGGACATGGCTAGATTGTCATAGAATTTTACGCAGATCAAGACTATATATACTTTATAGGGTCGGAAATGATTATTTCGATGAGTTACAAACGGAAAAACAAAATTAATATACCCTCCATACTATGGACTACATACTATGTGGACTACCCCAAAAAGGGGGCGAATATTAATAATTTTTGGTAGATAGATATATAAAATTGCAGCAAATTTGGTTGAAAAACGCGCTCAAGAACCCCAAAATACCGAAAATTGGGAGTACCCTTATATGGGGGCTATCCGAAAAAATTGACCTATATTCATAATTTGTTGTAGAGAGATTTGGTGCCCAATAAGAACTCAAAGTACCAAATTTCAGCGAATTCGGTCGAAAAATGAGTACCGTTATATGGGGACTACCAGAAAAAGTGGACCCATATTTATAATTTTTAGTGAAGTAATTTAGTACCCAAAAAGAAACCAATGTACAAAATTTCACCGAATTCAGTTATAAAACGCACCCAAGAACCCAAAAGTACCGAAAATTGGGGATACGCTTATATGGGGGTTATCCTATATTGACCTATATTTATAATTTTTAGTGGAGAGATTTGCTACCCAATAAGAATTCAACGTACCAAATTTCAGCGAATTCGGTTGAAAAATGCGATAAAAACCCCAAAAATACCGAAAATTGGGGGGTACCCTTATATGGGAGCTACGCCTAAACGTGGACCGATGTAGCCCATCATCGAACTTGACCTGCCTGCAGACAAAAAAATGTTGGCGATCTATCTCAATTCGTTTAGACGCTAGAGTGATTACAACAGATAGACGGACATGTTTAAATCGGCATTCTTTATAGGGTCGGAAATGATTATTTCGATGCGTTACAAACTGAAAAACAAAACTAATAGACCCTCCATACTATGGTGGAGGCTATAAAAATACTATGGTGGAGGGTATAAAAATATTCTTTAAAAAATATACGCTTATTGGGCGAGAAATATTTTTTAAAAAATCAATGCCATATTTTACAAAAATTGGAAATTTTGAGAACCATTGGTCCCTCTAAAAATGTTTAGTGACACCCTGGTTGACCATTTCAGTTTGATATTTATGTTAACCTCACATTTCGTAACAAATATCATTATATATGACTACTTCAATAAACAAATAAAGAAACAACAACAACAAAACAAAATGAAACAATTCCAAGTGCAAATATACACGTATACTTACACTTGTATCTACACGTATACGTGTGTGCGTGTGTACATTTTGTTTATATGTCTTTTTGTGTCAAATGTCAGACAGTCGACGATGAGTGTGAGTTCTGCTACGTTTTGTTCTACAAACTGACATTGTGACATTTGCTGTCGTCAATACAATGGAGGAGAGCTTAAAATCGGTAGCCCATGTCGAGCCCCCGGACGACCCGTAAATACTTGACAATGTTTGAATTGAATCTGCGTTAGCTTTTCATTGACTCGACTAACAACTTAGTTAGAATGAATGGCGGGGTCGTGGAATGTTACGCGCTTTGGCAGTGAATTGTTGCTCTACACCATGCCATGACATGTTTATGATTTTTTTCTGTTGCTGTTCTGCTTTTAGATTTCTAGGTTAAATATTTATTTAGACAAACGAACCAAAGAATAACGGTAGAATGCGAATGTGAAAATGTCTGTAGGAAAGGAAGTTTATTTGAACGGTAAATGACAGCACCCCCTCACCTTACTCTTTTAACAATATGTTCCTCTCCCTCCCTATCCTGGTAACGAGTTATTTGTTATATGGCAGGAGTAAAAATCGTAAGTGTTATAATAAACGTTGAGTGATTTATTTACACATTCCACTCGTAAATCAAACATAGAGGAATGTAAGAATTATTATTGTCATTATTGTTATTAGTAGACAAGTGGAAGAAAGAAAATATTGTTCGGCATACGAGAAATTTGAAGTGTATTTGGAATTGTTCGCAATGTGAATGAGTGAAGTGGGTGTGTGTGCTAACGTCTTTCCC